AGCTTTTTTCTAAAAAAGGCTTGAATTGTTGCTCTTTGAAAATTTTCTAAATAGTTTCCAATTCACAAGAATCTAAATTATGACATGGAGCACTGTCACCTGAAGTGTGGGACTTGAGTTCACAGGTCTGCACCCCCCCCACACACACACACATGCAAGGATGAATCTGAACTTGACAGGTGCCAACAACCTTGCAGCTGGGTGGAGGGGACTAGTGGACAGGGACTCCTGCTGCCAGCCCTCCCCAGGGGGTCTGTCCCATACAACATACATAGACTCTGTCCAAAGGACCTATATCTGTGCCTCAATCGTTTTTTATTTGCCCAATTGTTAAGAGAACACAAGAGGCCAATGGCTCATCTACTTCCTTGTCCCTGCACACAGAGCAGCTTTGAGACTATCTTTCTGCCTCCATCTCTCCTCTATGCAATGACAGGGTACAGCCAGCCAGGTGAGGTGATATCTCAGACCCCTCCAGCTCTCAGGTAGGGTTAGCCCACCTCAAGACCTGGCTTAGTTCAAATCCTGGTTGCCCCATTGTGGGACCTTAGGTACTTTGCTTAACCTCTCCAAGGCTCAGTTTTCTTATCTGTAAAATGGGGATAATTATACTTTTCTCACCTAGTTGTGTGGATTGTTGAGGTAAGATGCACTCAGGACCTGGCACAGTTCATAAGAGGCTCTTGATGCCTGGTTTTACTATTATTATTGGTATATTATGGACCTCTCAACCCGTTTCTGCATTATCTTTGTTTTTAAAAAATTCTCTCTCTCTCTCTCTCTCTCTCTCTCTCTCTCTCTCTCTCTCTCTCTCCTCCCCTCCCCCCAGTGGGAGAGGTTGTTTTTTTTTAATTTAAAAAGCACCCTTAGTATGTCCCTTATATTTTTGCCAAACCCGAGGACCTAAGGCTTGGTTGGTCCTACGACTTCTCTCTGAGAACCCCAAGTTTGGGCAGCCCAGCCAGATCCAGGGGGCAGCTTCCCCTGCAAGCTGGCAGCTGAAATGGCTTGTCTGTCTGCTTTTAGTGTTGTTCCTAAACGTGATGTTGTCTCGGCTTGCAAGCCTCTAAAACTCCCTGCCTGCCCTCCCCTGCATACATTAGCCTTAATGTATTCTCTCTTGAATACTCATCATATTAAGGCTCCCGCTAGATACCTTGCTCGAAATAAATTTTATGGGCATACATCCTCGCCCTCATCCCCGTGCATTTGCGGCCGGGAGGAGAAATATAGCAGCATCTTTCCCCTCAGGCCAAACAACAATTAGGTGGGAATCGGCGGCCTCTGGCCCGGGACCCGCGAGATGCGGGAGGGAGCCGGCGCGCGCCCCACTGGGGCTCGCCCAGCTTCGGGAGGCCCGCTCTCCGTCAGGTTCTCCAAGGGTGAATTTGCCTACACTGGTACTGTCCGGGCTCCCCAGAATCCAGGCGTCTGCTCACACACAGATGCCCTCTCAGCAGGGCCGGGCCCCGGGGGCCAGTCGCTTGGCACACGCGGCTGGTGCGCACAGGTGCCAGCGCTCTGCACCCGTTTGTCCGTAAATCGCTTTCCTGAGCCAGGAGGGCCTCTTGGTTAGGCTTCCCTCTCCTCCCTTGTAAAATGATGCAGAGCTTCTTCCCTCAAGCCTCTGGCTCAGCACTGCAAGGGCTCCAAACGAAACGCCTGCAGGAGGAACCGCCCTCCCCTCCCAGCCCCCCCAACACACACCTCTTGCCTTTCAGGACTCTCTTTGCCTGAGTTGTACCCCCTTCCCCTCCCCAGGATAGACTTGTTACAGCACAGGTGCTCCTGGTTATCCGCCTGTCACTCCTCAAAGTCTCACCTGCGCCTATGCAAATCTCTCGCCTCCTAATGCCCTCTGCTCACCCAAAAGGGCCTCCCTGGCTGCTCCAGGACTGCAGATCCCTGATAATCCCCCGAGAGAGACAGGGGTGTGATCATAGGAGCACCTACTGGGAGGCAGCCAGGCAGCCCCTAAGCCCTGCAGAGTTGCTGTGTGATGTGGGCACTCTCTGAGCCTCCAGGTGCGGCCATGACATCCATGCAGGAATTCCCACCAGGGTTCAATGAGATTGAGCCCTTGAGCGTGGTCCCTGACTTGCCTTTCCCTCAGCCACAGCAGCCCCACATCCAACACCTGGTTACTGCAGTCATCTCTTACTGATAGCAAACCTTTACTGAGCATCAACTGCATACTGGATGCTTTGTTTGCTCTTCACAACAATCCTGTGAGGTGCTATTGTCAGCATCAACCCCCCTTTTTACAGGTGAGAAAACTGAGGCACAGAGAGGCAAAATAATTTGTTCAAGGTTAAACAGCAGAGTCAGGATTCAAACCCAGGCTGTCTAGCTCCAGGATCCATGGTCTTAACCTGCATCCTACCTACTATACCCTCTTATTTGATGGAAATTCCTGTAGCCATCATGTGCTCAGCACCTTGCTGGGTACATTGGAACTACTTCCTGGTTGAACAATTTCTTTGGCAAGGAGAAAACCTATTGAGATTAAAAAAACAAAAATCATACAAACCGGGACAGGTAGCAAGCCCAGTCTATAGGCATCTGCCTAAGTATGACTCCTGGTAGTTTTCATGGGGGCATTTTAGTCTGAGAATGAGCTTGAAGAACAAGACATCTAATGGGTTCTACTTTCAGGCAAATGTTGGAGGCTGCCATGGCCATGATGAGAACAGGCTGGGGTTAGGGTTTACTGGGTCCAAGATTGACACTTGTGTGTACAGGGCTAGTGATGACAATTTACTGACTATCTCAACAGATCTGTCTATAAGTTTTAGATACAGATGACTTAATACTTGAGAAAGCTTTCTCTCTGCATAGATTTAGATGTGTTTAATTCCTCCGCCCCCAGGGCATCAAGGCTAATTCCCTTATGTTAACGCTTTTAAATGATATCACAACCAACAAACATGATATGATTCAAGAAACACATACGATTCAAGAGATTTGGTTTTATTACTTTTGTGGATGTTTTCGAGTGTGCAGGAGAAAGTAGTGAAGAACTGTGTCAAGTTGAGCTTCTTAGAGGGACTTGATCAATTATTTATTCAATGATTAACACCTGTGGCGTTACTCTTGCATTCCAGGCACTGTGCTAGGCAGTGAGGATACAAAGTTGAGAAAGAAACACTGACCCTACCCCTTGAGGATCCCACCTTCTAGTGGGAATGACAATGTGTAAAGAAACAATTAGCCAAAGTCCTATTTATAATCAGGGTGAGAAGCCCTGGGGTTGCCAGCTTCATGGCATGCTATCATAGGAGGCCAAGTGCTTGCACTTTAATGTTTTTGTCCTTAATTTATTACCTTCCCTTTGGGGGCGGGGGAAAGTACAGGGGGGAAATGGCTAGAGATGCTAGCACTATTTGCTCATCCAACCATGGAAGCCTGACTATTTTGTAGTTTTTGAAACTACTTCAGTGGCTCAAAAATACTATCCTCCCCCCACACCCCTACTCCAAGCAATCCCTTTGTAAAGATGGGATGGCAGGAAAACAGACCCTGGGTAGGAAGTCCCCAGGACAGGAAGAAGAGGGTGGGGCCATGGTTAGGGCTCAGTGGCAGACAACAGAACCCACTTTCACCATTTAAGTGGAAAGTGGTCAGTTACCAGGTATTAGGTGGCTTTCAACTCAGTGTAGACAGTTCTGGGCCAATCTTCCAGAAATAACTCCCAGCCCCCAGAATTTCATTGCCACTGCCATGATTGATCAGGGCATTGAAACCGCAGACCCTCCCAGCCTCTGCATGCACCACACCAGCACAGTGGGAGCCTGCCCCTTGGCTGGGCCATTTAACCCAGTTCTGAATTCAGGTCTCTTTTATTTTTATTTTTTTAAAGCTTTTTATTGGGGAATTGGGGGAGGGGAACAGTGCTGGGGAATCGGGGGGAAGGGGAACAGACAAGTTGCTGTCCTTTTTGTTCTTCAGTCTAGTTGTGGAGGACTTTGCTTCACTGGCCCAAGTTGGCACCATCATTGCGCTCTTTCCGGGCGAGGCAGATCAGTCACTGGCCTCTGGACGGCTGCTCATGGCGGCTGCTGGCTGCTCACGCTGGCTGCTGGCTACACACGGTAGCCCATGGCAACCCACTGCAGCAGGGGTTGCAGCCTATGACTCACGGCAGCCCAGCTCCAGGTTGAGCTGTTGTTCAGCATCTTAGCTGTAGAGGGCAGTGTCACTGGCTCTCATATGTGGGATCCGAATTGGGGCCCTCTGGCACCCCAAGCCAGCTCTTAACCAACGCTGGCCCCCATGTCTCTTTTAAATACATCTGATTGGCAGGCTCACAATCATATTTGGAACCTGAGCTGCAAGGGAGCCTGGAAAAGCAGTTTCCAGTTTGTCTGTCTGCAGCACAGGAAGGTATATGTTAGGAGGGGATGTTGATGGAGCCAACCCATGGTATCCATTGCAGTTCATTGAAATACTCTCAGGAGGCTTTCTCAAAATTCTGAGATTCTTCCTCCACGGACACCCTCACTCTTGGGCCTCGGTCACTGCCTGCCCCCTACACAAGTCATTAGCTTATTAGGCCAGATAGCCTCTCAGTCTGTGCCTAGGTAGGGCTTACTTTGGGGCTGATGTTTTTATCCCAGAGTCCACCCAGTAGTGAAGATGTCACGGAAATAGAGGGGAATCTTTTGGGGTCTTCCTGGCCTGTTGACTGTGAACTTGCAACTGGCATAAATGGGGTAAGCTGATGCTGTAGCCTCGTGATGCTCTTAGAAACAGGTGACCTCTCTGGGTCAAAGCCACCCTAAGCCAGACCGGCAAAGCAGGGATTGGATGTCAGTCTCAATCTGCCCCTTAACCAGGCACCTTTGTGCAGTGTACAGCCTGCACAACTGTACGCAGCAGCCCTGGAGGTTTGGGTTATGTCCTTTCTAACAACTGGCAGAATGGGAGGCATCCACACAGGACCCGGTCTGGTTAGCAGTGCTGTGCGGAAAGCTCACATGGCCTCTCTCCTCTCCCCACAGAGATCCCCCAGTGCGCTGGCTGCAACCAGCATATCCTGGACAAGTTCATCCTGAAGGTCCTGGACAGACACTGGCACAGCTCCTGCCTCAAGTGTGCAGATTGCCAGATGCAGCTGGCTGACAGGTGCTTCTCCAGGGCCGGGAGCGTCTACTGCAAGGAGGACTTCTTCAAGTAAGTCAGAGCCAGGTGCAGCCTACTTCTTGCCCTGGTCTGTTTCTGCCTCTCCCTGGGCGGTGGTGGTGGTGAGGGAGGGAAGCTTGCAGTGTGGCAGGGTGGGTAGGGCGGTGGGTCCATCCTGGGGGGTGGGCGAATCCTCCTGCTGAGAGGCTGCTCCTCTGAGGTCCCCCTTTTGGATCACCAGCCCCATCGTTGCCGGAAGACAAGGGTCTCTGCGTCACTTGAGCTCTGCAAGGGGAGCCGGCAGGGAGCACATGCCAGGCTGACAAGGGGTCCCTGTAAATCCTAAAAAGAGCTGCTCTTTCTGTCTTGGATGTATCATTCTTGCAGCTTTCAGAGCAGGTGCACGGAGGGTCCTGCCCTGATTCTAGATGAGTCTCCGTGGTTGTGTTTCCCCCAGGCTGCTTCACGGGCCTCAGAGGCTTGGCAGAGTTGTTCCTGGTAAGGTCTAGCTAGGCTCCATCAGGGTCATCACTTTCAATGGAGACATGACGAAGAGGCAGTTTTCATGTGATGGTTAAGAGCCCAGACCCTGCCTGGGTTTGAACCCACTTATTAGATGTGTGCTCTTGGGCAAGTTACTCAACTTCTCTGTGTCTCAGTTTGCTTACTTGTAAAACGGGGCTAATACTAATCGTTTCTATCTCACAAGGTTGTTATTAGCTTAGGATGAGTCAGTATGTGTAAAGTGCTTAGGACAGTGCCTGGCATCTGAGTGTTAGATCTTGAGACCGCCCTCGGTTTTTCATTCTGATGTTGGGTCCGTCAGAAAAAATCCTGTTGGAGCTTTGGGTCAGGGTGAGAAGACCTCCTGGAATTTATTTTCTGTGGCATTTAGCCTGGGACGTCTCTCCCAGAATCTATTACCCGAGGTACTTAGCCTGGTGTCTCAGCCGACAGCAGCACAGCCAAGAACAGGAGGTGGGGATTGTCCACCGGTGACACTGAGCCCGGGGATGGGGGTGGCCCATGGGTGTGTGTGGAGGGGGTTGCGACTGCGGGGAGTCTGGCGGAGACCTGGAAACATTCAGCACGAATGAGCGAGCCCCAGAGAGGTGGGATGTGTCCTTTAGAGCTTGTGTATTCTGGGGACAGGGAGGAGACACCGGGAGACATGTCAGTCTTGGAAACAGGGCACAATTTCTCCTCAACCCTCCCAAAGGTATAACCCAAGGGAAAAAGTCATTTGAATTTCTGAAGATTCTCAATTATTTTTTTATAGTGCAATATGAATTGAAAGCACATTCAAGGTTATCTTGGTAGCTACTGGGGCTGCCTTCATGGCTTGTGTTCAGAAGGCAGCACTCATTGTCACCATCACACTTTGGGCAAATCTGCACTGCTGTCTCCTTGCGTGTGTGTGTGTGTGTGTGTGTGTGTGTGCGCGCGCGCGCACGTGCACCTGTGCGTAAGCGCTACCTGAGGATGGGAGCAGTGGCTGACACAGGCACACCCACCAAATCCTTGATGCTTCCAGTTGAGAGATGGGCCTCTGGTTCTCTGTCTAAGCCCTCTCTGTGTACTTCTCCTCTTTCCTGGAATCTTCCTTTCGCCTTCCCCGCCTCTGACCCTGGCCTTGTTTCCTTTACTCTGGCATTTACACAGCTCCGCCCTCTCCACCCTCATCCCTTCTCGGTAGGCAACAAGAGTTTGCCTCTGCCTTCCCCCCTCAGAGATGCACCTGCTGGCACCACAGCAGCTCTTAGGGGCCCCTGGATGGGGTGGATTTCACTGTATGTGTGTGTGTGTGTGTGTGTGTGTGTGCGCGCGCGCGCGCACGCATGTATGCACGTTGTAAACCTGTGAGCACCTGTGAACATGAACCTGTGTGCGTGTGAGGAAGGCAGGAGGAAACAGGCAAGTGGGCCTGGCTTTGAGGGGTTGGGTGAGCTCTCCCTGTGTCCATAGTCAGGACACCATTTTCCAGTTTGTCCCCTGTACCTGTGGAAAGTCTCGGTGAGCTCCACAGGGAGGCCAGAGGCCATGTTGCCTTTTTGCCCTTCTGGGGATGGAGTGGGTGATGAGATGTCGCAGGTCAGACCTCTGGCTGGTTCAGCCTGGCAGGTCAGGGCAGCCTGTGGGGTGCAGGCAAAGCCTGTCACGGCCACAGAACTAGGGCTCTGTCACCAGAGAAGCTCCTTTGAGCCCTGGAATCACCCTTGGGCCTCATCTGGTGTTTGGACCTTGACTGGCTGGCTCTGGGTTTGGGAGAGAGGGGTAGCAGCAGCTCAGGTGTAGGTTTTGATTGGGAGAAGTATTGATAAGGAAAGAAGGCCCCTCTCAACCCAGGAGGGGCCCAGAGTGCGGGCTAGGGATGGGTCAGCACTGGTCTACAAGCCACAAGCTCTTGACCAGAAATAACAGTGATGGTCACTCGCCCAGGCTGGTGCCCTGACCCTCTGCCTCCATGGCCTCCCCACACCATGGTCCTCATCTGCAACTTTCCAGGGCCTTGCTCAGCAGGGACTTCCTGACTGATACCCCCACTCTCTCTAGCCCAGTGCTTACCCACCAGACCTCACATCCTACCTCACAGCTCAGGTCCTGAACCCCCATCCCCCAGCTCCTTCAGCAGGGCCCCCTCTGCCTACAGAATATTCCAGATGCATTGCGCCATCAGAGCCTTTTGTCCTGTGCCCAGCACCCCTTCTAGTCCTAGCTTGCTGCTTTCCTCAGTACTGGACACCCCCACCCCCAGCAGCGTATCCCCTTGGCCAGGCATGCTCTGCATTGCCTCACCTCCAAGCCCTGGACATCCCAGGACGGTGTCCATCCTCTCAAAGTCTCCTCATCCTTCCGTGGCCAGGAGTGCAGCTCCTCAGTGGCTGGGAGCCCCTCGGAGGCATGGCCACCCTGTTCCTTCCCCCTCCTGGTGACTCAGCAGGAGCTGCCTTGTTTTGTTCATTCCTCATGCACCTGTTTGATCTTCCTGTTGTCTTGAGGAAAGACTTAACAGTCGTTCATTTTTCTGTCCCCCACATACACACCTGGCCCCGAGCCTTGCCCATAGGCCATTGCTGGGTTTGATGCCACAAAGAGTAGATTACAGAGAGAATTGACAATGTGCTTTGGTGACTAGTTTTTCCTGCCCCTTGAATGGAGTCCTGGGCGTCACAAAGGCCCAGGCTGCCTTGGAAATGTTCAGGCGGTTATTTAGCCACCGTTATTCTCCGTATTCCACAAGGCTGCCCTGCTTCGTAAAATGGCCCACTCTCAGGGGTGGAGCTTTTCGTAGGGCCAGGGAGCTGTCCATAGAATCAGTGCTAAATCCAGGTCATTCACTCTGGGATGCAGGTGCCATGCGGACAGAAATTTAAAGCTGAAAACGTTCTCCCCCATGCCAGTGGAGGGCCAATCAGGCATGAAGACTGGATAGCTCTGAGGCCCCCCAGGCAGGACACATGGACACATGGATTTATAGGGAGTCAGCAACCCCCCACCCCCGATCTTTGGGCCTGTGGCTGTTCAGTACAGGGAGGCACAGCTGTAGGTAGTTTGGTATATACTATATAGCAAGTTGCACTCTTGCTGGTGAAGACAGGGTCAGAGTGGCTTCACCTCCCACCCCCAGGGGTCTTGGGACCCGCTGCCCACTTGGGGCTCAGGCTGTGACGTGGCCACAGAGCCGGGTGCTCTGCTCCTTGTGATAGCTCATTCAATGTCCCCAGGCACCTGCTTTCAGGTGGCACCCCGGGTGGGGCCCACGTGCAGTGTGGAGCTGTGAGCAGAGAGAACATGAGGCAGGCATGAGGGGGCGGGGAAGTCCCTGGAACCCCAGGTCCTTCCCTCATATTATGTGAGGCTGCAGGAGTCGCCTCTGGCCGCCTTGTGAGAGGGAACACAGGCACCTTGCACCTGCATTCACCTGTCAGGCTCAGAATGCTTTCAGCTGTGGGATTTGGGAGACTCTCCTCTCTATACTCCTTGAAGAAAAAGAAAAAAAAAAGAGTAAAGAAAAAGCACTGTCCTTTTCTGACACCTGCCCCACAGCTCTGTTCAGAGGCGGACAGTGGGGCTCCCCGGCCTCCCTGGTCAGCACTGTGGTTCTAAGTTCTAGGATCAACATTTTAAATCGCTTTGCCCAACACAAGGGGCAGAGCCACTGCTTTGCATACCCCCAGGGGACATCCTTTGTTCCGTGTGAAGTTTTTGGAATCAAGACTGTAATGTGAAACGTGCCCCTTCCCCACCCTTCCTGCAGGTGTGTCATACCTAAGAAGCAGGGGGGCGGGGACACCGAGGGGAAACCTGGAGGTCAGCCTTCAGCTGGGGGAAACGTGGTAATACCTTGTGACTGGCAGCAGAGGGCGATGTTGGTGTGTGCACAAAGACACAGTGTAGGTTGTACTCTGTGGTTGTTGCATTTTTCTTTTGGGGCTGTTGAACTCTGTCTTGCTCAGTAACATTGGCTGATGTTTTGCTGTTGTTTGTGGTTGTTGCTTCTCGGGTCCTTGGATTCCCTTTCTCCAAAGGAAACATGATTCTGAGGCCCAAGAGGAGAGGCACTGAGTTGACTAATGCAGTGTGGTGCCAAGGCTATTCAATTTGAATCACAAGTTAAGGAGCCAACAATTCCTTGCACTGCATTTGCTAAGCAGGTCCTTTCTGGGCTGTGTGTCCAGCATGTCACGGATCTCCTACCTCCTTGCAAAGGGACCAGGGTTTGAGGAGGGCAGGGTCTGGGAGTAGGGCTTCTGCGACCCCTCCTAGTCACTGACCGGGTCCTGGGAGGAGCCTGACAGCTCCCTTATTCTGAAGCACAGTGAAGACAGGACGGGTTCTCTGCTACAGGAACTGGTTCAAGTGCTGCCTCTGTCTGCTGGGTGCCCTTAGGCAAGTTCCTTGACATCTCTGAGCTCCAGTGTCTTCTTTAGGAAAATGGGACTGTTAATGGTAGGTGCTCCAGGAGACCTGGCATACTGGAGCATTTTGTGAAAGGGAGTTATTTTACGAGCAGAGTGGTTTGGGGAATTCAAACGGAACACTTGAATTCC